TTAAAATTCCGCAGAAGTTTCTTAAAACATTAAACATGCACCCACCATAGGATCCAGCCACTCTACTCCTGGATGTTCACCCAAGAGAAAAGACAATCCAGGTCCCTACGAAGCCCTGTCCACAAATGTTCGCAGTAGCTTTATCTGTAATGGCCCCAACTGGAAACAATCCCACCTGTCACAAAAGGGTAAATGATAAACTAACTGTGGTCTACCCACGCCCTGGAACACTAGTCAGCAACAAAAAGTCACGAACCACGGATGCACACTAGGACAGGATGAGCTCAAATTAATTACTCCGAGTGAAACAACAGAGGACGGGTTCCATCTGTATTAACGTCTAGAAAGGCAAACTAATCTATAGTGACAGGATGCGGATCTGTGGTGGCCTGTGGGCGAGGGGTGGGAGGGAAGATCACAAAGTAGCATAAGGAACCCTTTGCATGTGATGGGAATGTTCATATCTCGCCCGTGACGATGGCTTCACAGGTGTGCATACACGCGGCGACCCATCGACTTGCATGCTTTAAATACGTGCTTTTGCTGTATGCCAACTGTATCTCAATAAAACTTTGAAAAAAAAAATTAAGACTGCAGAAAGCATCAAACACAAACCAGTTATACCTAGCAGTTACTTTCCAAGCTTTCTCTTGTTAAACAGATGAAATAAAAAAGTACTTTTCAAGCAATTTAGCTGCGGGTCACATGCCTCTTTTTTCTATGGCTAGGTGGCCAGAGAAGTCAGAGCAGAGAAAGGGGTAAGAACTACAATGAGGGAAGTTTGAGCGAGTTTCTTTTAATATTTTTAACCTAAATTTTATTGTGTTAATAAAGACACTAAAGCAGACACTCGTATGTAAAAGAAAGCCAGGCCCCTCTGCTCTTTGCAAAGAAAAAATTAAATGTCTGACAATGACATTTGCAAACAGCATATACCTGGGAGTGGGGAATCAGAGCCCATCAGGCCAGAAGACACTTTAAAAGTCCCAACATTAGAGGAGAGAATTGTGTTATTGTGCATGACCGGTTTCTGATTCTCTCCTGGGTCTAGCAGATCACAGAAGCTCTTTTCCCAGTAAGTGGAAGTGGCCAGTGGAAAACGAGCAGTGCCAAACACAGCCACTCCTTACCTTTTCTCTCGGGTCCTTAGGAAGCTCACCGCTCAGCTCAGCACACTTCTCATATTTGACTTCGTTGCTGGATGCCGAACTTGAAAACCTGGTACAGAGATCCGAGTTACCTGGATGGAGCTAGAAGCTGGGATTCCCCGTAGCCCACACACCACAGCTCAGGGCCCAAGGGTGAAATCGGCTTTGGCGGCATCAAAGCCACACCAGCTGATTTCCTTTGAGAAAGAACATTTCCTTTCCAGCTGCCCAGAGGAGAAGAGCCCGGTGGGGAGAGCCTACCTTAAACACAGCGTCATCGGGGTGGAAGGAGCCCCCGGCTGGGGTGAAGACACAGGTGCTAGTCCCAGCTCTACTCTGCCTCCTCACTGGGGAGCTCGGGTTGGGCTTGTGACCTCACCTGAGCTTCTGTTTCTTCATCTATAAAATGGGGATAATTAACACCTCCCCGTCCCTTTTATAGGGCAGATAAGAGGCTACCCAAGGCCCTAACAGCTACATGAGGGCGTTTGGGGAAGAGTGAAGATGCCCCAGGAGGGATAATTACTCGTTGTTGTTAGCAACCCAGGCACGACAGCAGCCCCTCTGCAGTGGGCTGTCACGGAATGTGTGGGGGCCGTGTCTGTCTCTGCCTCTCTGGGCGAGCAGGGCCGAGTCATTATCCTTCTCTGGGCCTCAGTTTCCCCACCTATCAAGGGGAAGAGGGAGTGGGGCTAGCATCTTTCCCTCTCTGAAGAGTTCTCTGGTGTAAATGCCTGAAAGATGTGGCACATGCTTAGTTCAGGGCCGGGGGCTTTGGAGAAAAGGGAGGGAGAAAACTTGAACCACTTAAAACTTGACCCGCACTTAGCAACCCAGAGTCTATGTCCTGGGAGGTGTGAGGCTGTGGTGTGTTGTTGCTAAACTCAGAGCCTCAGTTTCCCCATCTGTCAGAGGGGAATAATCACACGGCCCCTCGAGGCACTATGAGGACCCCGGCACAGCCGTCCCCTTTCTCTGCTACCTTAACTCAGGGGTTCTCAGGCCTGGCTGCATAAGAGACCCACTTGGAAACTTTTAAAAACTACCAAACTATGAGCCCCTCGCCAGACCAACTGAATCAGAATCTGTAGGGGTGGGGCCCAGGCATGGGTATTTTTTCCAGGTGATTCTAATGTACTGAGAGCCACTGGTCTAACTTTGGCCGGGCTGGCTGCCCCGGTTCCCAGGGCCGGGAGGGCGGTCTGCCCAGACAGACATCCTGCCCCTGCAAGCTCCACCCCGGACAAAGTATGTTGGTGGCATGCATGTTATTAACGAGCCAGTTGATCACGCCCGGTGGCATCTCCCTGTTGTGGCCCCTTGTGGGAGAACAGGTGTGCCACGTTTAGAAAGCCATTATTAACCACCTGGATCCATAGTATCACTTGGAGTCGCAGTGCGGCATTATCTCTACGGTCGTATCTCAATCCTTTAAGGAAGGTCTTAGTATTATTTCCATTTTCGAGATCAAGACACCGAGGCTCAGCGAGGGGAAGCACCTGCCCAAGTTATCCTGACTCCTCTGATTTTATATTTCAAGCCATTCCTGGAGGCTTAGGCCTCGTCTCCTCATCCAATGGAGACAGGCGGAGCTGGAATGGCATCTGGCTTCTGCTTCCTCAGGGTACTTCCACTTTCTGGCCTGCATCTGTGAAATGGGCGCGTACCTCCCACTTCACTCACAGGGGGCGCAAAGCCGAGAAAGGCCAAGGAAACCGAGCTCCAGCCCGCACTGCTGGCCATACCCAGAGGGGCTCAGAGCCCAGCTCCCTTTCCCTCGGGGTCTCTGGTGGGCGGTGGGCGGCAGCCCAGGGCTGTGGGAGCATCCACTTACAGTTTGGTCAAATCCGCGGACAGCGGCCGGGCCTGGAATGTCCTCCTCCTGATCTCGGGCTTTGTCTCAGAGCTCTCGGCAGCCCAGCCTCTGACCCGCGCCTGGACGCTCACGCCCCCTTTCTCGGGCTCTGGCGCTGCTGATGGGGACTCAGGGGTGGCCAAGGGGGGTCCGGGCCCCCCTGCCAAGGCCACGGTCACGGCCACGGTGCTCTCCTCCCCAAACAGGCTGATACGCTTCTTGACGCTCCCCCGGGAGGGGACTCCTTCAGCCGCTCTGCCCTTGACCTCAGCCAGTCCTGGGCCTATTCCTGGCCTGGGCGAAGGGAGCTCTGGTGCCTTCTCTGGCTCCTGGGCCAGCCGGCCTTGCTCTTCCCAAGGACTCTGGTCATCTCTGGGGGCGACCCTGGCTGAGCCCCCCAGGGCTCTGGGGCTGCCCGTCTCCTGCTGCGAAACCACCTTCTCCTTCCGTTCACGGATTTTCTGGGCCACCTCCATGAAGTCTGAACTCGTGTCAGGAAGGGGGGCCTCTGCCTTGGCCAAACACTCCCTGTCCGCCTTGGGCTCGGGTCTGGGCCTCTCTGGGGCCCGGCGCTCAGCGGCGGAGCCCGCCGTCGCTCCGCTGCCCTCGTCGGCCGCCTTCCTCAGCGAGGCCTCTCTGCTCTCGAACCGGGCCGTGAGGTCCATGGACAAAGGCCTGGGCCTCCTCACCCACGTCTTCTCGGGAGGGGTGGGGGGCGTCTTCCCCACCGCGGCCACCCCGCCGGGGCCCGGCTTCTGGATGGATTCGATGAAAATGGCCGACACGGGCCTTCTCTTCGGGCGAGGCCTGGGCTCGGGAGCGGGGCCTGCCGTGTCCTCCACACTGCTGGCCTTTGAGAGAACCTGGTCCTGGCCCGCCTCCTCCTGGGCTGCAGCCGGCCTTGTGTCCTGCGGCAGGGAGGCCGGCCGGGGAAGGGTCCCCGCTGGCTTCCGGGCGGGCATGGCGGGCTTGGCGGCCACCTCGGGCCTGGAGCCCAAAGGGGACTCATGAGACGTGCCCGCTTTGGCCTCCTGAGCCCCCTCACTGGCCGTCTTCCCCAGAGCGGGGCCGGTTTTGGTGGTTTCAAAGAGAATCATGGTGTTGGGCCTGGGCCGCAGGAACGCGGCCTCGGAGAACAGAGACGAGCTTCTTCTCGGGCCCTCCCCGCCACCCGCCTCCTGCCCCACCAAGCCGGGCATCCTCTGGTCCAGGTCCTTGGCTGCCAGCTGCTCGGACAGCCCACCAGAAGGAGACAGGCTGGTCGGGCTGTGCCGCAAAGACGACACAGGGGGTGTCACATCCGGGGGGGCCTGCTCCTTGGAGAAGGGCTTGGGGGCGAGCCTTGGCAGGGGCAGCAAGCGAGCCGGGCTCCTCAGCGGGCTCTTTGCTTCCAAGATCCTGGCCGAGGGAGCCGTGGAGGTGTCGCCAGCCTGGCAGAAGTAAGTCCGCTTCAGGGTCCCCTCCTTGCCAATCTCACTGAGGCCTGGCACCACGGTCAGGGACGTTATGGAGCTGACCTCGACCCGCGTCGCCATGGTTACAGTTGTGGATCCATGGGGATTAGGAACATTGGAAATGGAGGAGCAACTGCTAAAAAAAACAAAACAAAACAAAACAAACAAACAAAAAGCAACGAAATTTAGAACACGGTCCGTGTGTGGGTTGGGGAAGAGTGGTTTGGGGGAATGGGACAGAGAGCCCTAAGCCCCGGATTCCGGACCACGGCCCTGTGCTGGCTTCACCGGGCAGGCTCGGGCCTGTCTCTCCACCTCTCCGAGCTCTGGGCAAGGAGAGGGGACTAAATGGCCGTCTCTGAAGTTCATTCCAGCTCAAAGGGTGTGGAAAAGGCGCCAACTCGCTAGAGGGCTTTCCCTGACTCAGCTAGGCTCTGGCCAGCTCTCACGGTAAGAAGCGACTGTCTCTGCTGTGCAGATATGGAAACCGGCTCAGAGAGGCAAAGTACTGGCCTGCAGTCACTTGGGAAGAAAGACGAGGAGTCAGGATTCGAACCCAGGTTCGACCCCAGACTCACACCACAGGCTCCTGGCATAAGCCCCAGGGGGAGCGTCCTCAGGGTCCCTCACTGCTGTGACCCTATGTCCCCCACACAGAGCCTGCACATGGGGGATCCCAGCTGATTCCTGTTGTGATCCCGTGCCGGGCACTACACACAGAGAAGGCAAGAGACCGCCGCAACTCACGCAGCCACCCAAAGCAGGAGTCCCTGGGGGCACGAAGAGGGTGAGTGGCCGCTGGGGAAACCAGGCCTCAGCCACCAACCCCACCAGACTGTCCCTTGGTTCCTTTACTTTTCCCTCCCCAACCTTTCCAGATACCATTAAAAAAAAACCAACCCCATTTTCCCAACCAAATTGCCGGTAACTGGTTGCCCTTAAGGTCCTTTCCGGGGGAAAAACCAAATTTAAGCCGGCCGAACTCAAAATCCGGTTTGAAAAACCAATTAACTAATTAAAACCGGAAAAAAGGGCCCAACCCGGCAACCAGGCTGGAGTGCAGTGGTGTCATCATAGCTCACAGCAGCCTCGAACTCCTGGGCTCAAGTGATCCTCCTGCCTCGGCCTCCCGAGTAGCTGGGACTACAGGCATGCGCCACCACGCCCGGCTAATTTTTTTAATTTTTTTGTAGAGATGGGGTCTCGCTATGTTACCCATACGGAGGAAGTCTTGAACTCCTGGCCTCAAGTGATCCTCCTGCCTCAGCCTCTCAAAGTGCTGGGATGGGATCACAGGCCACCGCGCCTGGCCCTCATATTCTTCATAAAAAAAGGAACAGCTAACAGTGACAGCTGACCATGAGTGAGACCCTGAGGAGGGCCAAGCAATTCGTGTGTATTATAAATTTCATCCATCCCGCACGCTTATCAGGTGGGCCTGACAATCAGACCCCATTTTGCAGCGGCTCAGGGCATCAGCCCCTTCTTGTTCATGCAACTGTGAGATCTGTTCTCTCAAAAAACAGGAGCCCTCCTCTCTCATTAATCCTCCAACAACCCGGAAAGGCAGGAGTGACTGTTACCACCCTTGTGGGGATGCAGGGGAAGGGGCCAGAGAGGTCGCCAGGCCCGCTTACCATCCCACAGCTGAAACCTGACCTCAGATCCACGACCCACACAGCTCTGCCTGTTTAAAAATTATTTTTTATTCCTCTTCAGTCTTACGAAGTGCCAGGCAAGTCCCTGCTCTTGATCGGCAGGCACCTGTCACACCAGTGTTTTCTTTCCCTGTAAAACTGCCACCAGCCAGCCCCCATGTAGATGGACTAAAAAAGTGGAAGGTATTTTGGTTACGCGTAAGCCTCCCGCTTCCCCTCCTCGGGGCCCCACACTGCTCCCCCGTCTCTGACTCACTCGGCAGCCTCCAGGAAAGAAAGGCAGACAGATTTTGATATTTTCTCTCCCTTACACGCTCAATGGTGCTAACAGATTCCATCTCCCCAAACCGGAGAACATTGTCTAGACTCGGTTAGAGGCAGAAGAGAGATCAGATATGGAGAATCTGAGAATTGGAGCATTTCCACCTGCAAAGACCCCAGGCAGAGCCCTAAGGCTCCGGAATCCCACCCAGCATCAGAGCTGTTCACCTTTACGGCCAGCCCTGTGACCTCTTGAAATCCTGCTCTGCGACACATACGTAGCCCAGACATGAGACACAGGACAACGACAGGATGCAAAGGACAGAGACAAAATTCCCTGGCAGAACCCACAGGTGCCCTCCACCCGCTGGTCGAGCACGGGCCCCACTTACCCGAGCCGGCAGGCCCTGGGAGGGGGGGTGTGACTGCCGGGGAAAGCCAATGGTGTCACATCTCATCGTGGACGGGGCTGTCCGCACGCTCCCATGGCAGAAGCAGGCGGGGAGAGGCCGGCTCGTTCCGGCAGGCAGAGTGTCGCGGGTCTGGGGAGACACAGGACAACAGCCTCGGTTCCGGAGTTCTGGCAATATGTGAACAGACGGCGCAAAAGCTCTCGAGCTCCAACTGCATCCGCTGGCATCTCCTCCAGCTAGTAAAACTTATGCTCCTTTCGGCTTTTCAATTACGTAGCCTTATATATACATGTGCATAAATAGTGCTGAGCCCACAGTAGGTACTCTGCAAAAATCGTCCCTATTTCTCTGGTACGTGTTTAAGGGGCACCCACTACATACACAAATATGAGCGAGAAATAGCCCCTGCACCCACGGAACTCATAGTCTTCCGTAAGAAACATACACACGTGCACACACACACACACACACACACACACACACGGACTCACAACACTGCAGAAAAAATGTCATGGTTTATAATAGCACGAAAGACAAAATTATCGAATGCATAAATAAATGATTGTTGAGTGAATAAACAAATGAACGACGAAATATTCTGACCCCACTTCTCCTCTTCTAAAATGCCAAATAAGTCTAGATGCCGTGAGTCTCATGACAAAGGACACCAAACCACCTGGAACACAAGCTGAGTTACTCTGGCTGCGGCTAGTGAGTGACAGAACCGGAGAGCTGGGATGCGCTCAGATGGAAGCTCCACCCACAAAGTCCCACTAAGAGACCCCCACCCATTTCTCTGGGCCGCAGGGAGGAGCTCTGCCCTGGGACAGGCCACTGCCAGACACACCTGCTGCGACCACATTAACCTCACGCCGTCACGGGAGCTCATCTGCCCAAATGCGGAACGAATACTTCTCTGCATGGCTCTTCCTGGGAGGGGCCACCGGAGCAACCATTGCTGAATTAGGATCAGTGGTACACAAATGTCACCCCCCTTCAGAATCCCTGGACCCGCTGCAGCGGCTATTCTGCACGGAAGGGAAAGGGGAAAGGCAAGAGGAAGTAAGGAAAGTCAGTCTCTTGGCCCACGCCCCCTAAACAGAACAGCGCCTCTGCCACCTGTACTCTGCCTTATGTCCTGGTCTGCCTCTCGAGACCGCATTTCGAGTGCCTGGCAAATGCCTAGTATGTAAACACGAATCAATAAATCAATTAATAAGTCCATGAACAAAGGAAAGTAAAAGAAGTTTTTAAACCACCTTAGTAGATGGATCAATAACATTTTAAAGTCCTTCCCAACCCACGATTCTCAGGTTTGCGTTCAACCTGCGGTAAAATACAAGGAAACCGATTTAACTATAGGCTTTAAAACCTTGCTTTAGATGCATCCCATATGTTATGCTTGATTTAATAGACGTTAGTCTCTTCCAAAACATTCTGGAAGCGCACTCGCACAGAGGCCAGCTGCCACTTATCCCTAAGGGTGGACTGGCTCAGTTTTTTTAAATAGTCTATCAGCTGGGCACCACGGCCAAAACCAGGAAAGAAGGGAAACAGAGTCCGAGCCATCTCTGGTTCAAACTGTCTCCTCATGGAGGTCAGCGTGTGGGGCAGACGGGGGGCAAAGCGTCCACCTGGGAGGTCAGGAGGCTGGTGGACCGGGAGAGAGAGGACGTCAGTCTAGCCACAAGCAGTGGCCATAGCAATGGGTATTTTTTTCTCTCTTGCTGAACCTGCCAACTCCATGAGCTGGATCTCCCAGGAATGATTTGCAAAGTTCAAAATTCCCATTTCCTGCCATTTCATGCAGACAAAAAAAAAAAAAAAAAAGACTCGTCTGAGAAGGGCGTCACCAGAAGCAACAGGTGCTGAAATTACACAGGAGTCACTCGAAAGCGTTCCTTCTTCCATCCTTCTGACCCTCCTACCGCAAACACTTGCCAAAGCGCCAGGCTCTGTGCTTGGTGCTGGGGCTCGTGGTCTCCTGGGGAATCCGAGAGATCCGCAAGAGAGAAGGCAAGAAAAAGCACTTCCATTCAAAACCAAACTGTTTGGCAGCTTTTCTCCCAGTCTCAGAGGCGTTGATTCATTCTCACAGCTGCCGAGCATCTTTCATAATTACACCCTCGAATCCAATCTGAGCGCTCACCAGCCATTCACTCAGCCGTCTCTGGCTGCCGCTTCCTGGGAATGCCACCATCTGGTGAGGGGCGTGGGCTGGTCCCGACACCTTCCAGCGTCTTCCGGAACGTAACCTTGGCCCCCTAACTCTGCAAACCCATCTTGTGTGGTGCACTGCGCGAACAGCCAAGAATGGATTGGCAAAGTGCGTGCCTGTGTCCTCCCGGAAGAGCAGGGCTGCGGTACACGTTCGATCTGTCCACCCACGGGCCCCGGAGAGAAAAGGCCCAATCAAAATGCCAAGTGTCATTTGGAGTGTACGCATCCTCTCGTCCCTGTCCCCACGGCTGCAGCCCTAGTGCCTGCCTTCCTTCCAGTACACAGTTATTGAGTACCTACTATGTGCCTGGCGCTGGAGACACAGCAATGAACGAAACGTACAGAAACCTGCTCCCATGGAGCTGATATCCAAGACAGGAGAAAAGAAAATAAACAACATAAATAAGTGAAATATATAGAAGGTTAGATAAGTGACAATAAAGGAAGGAATTTGAGATGGGGTGGCCAGGGAAGGCTTCACTGAGAAGGGACATTTAAAATCAGCCTCCTTCCTGTCCCATCTGGGGGC